TCTGACCCTGACTCTGACCCTGACTCTGACCCTTACTCTGACCCTGACTCTGACCCTTACTCTGACCCTGACTCTGACCCTGACTCTGACCCTGACTATGACCCTGACTCTGACCCTTACTCTGACCCTGACTCTGACCCTGACTCTGACCCTTACTCTGACCCTAACTCTGACCCCAACTCTGACCCTTACTCTGACCCTGACTCTGACCCTGACTATGACCCTAACTCTGACCCTGACTATGACCCCGACTCTGACCCTAACTCTGACCCTGACTATGACCCCGACTCTGACCCTAACTCTGACCCTGACCCCGACATTAAAGATCCAGCTGGTCTGTTTATGTTCAGTTTAAGTTGTTTCTGTGTTTGTAGGTGGAATAAATCAGAGGAACGATTCGGTCCTCTGATTTATAGAAAGGAGAAATAAATCAAACCGCTCTGGAAATTTCCACAACCTGGTCAGAAAGTTATTTTTGACGAAGGCCGTTCGATCAGACGGCGCGGTGAAAGGACGGCCTGTGCGGCTGAATGAAAGGCCTCTGTGTCGCTGGCAGAGCAGAGTCTCTGGCTCAACACCCAGCAGCTATTGTGTGATTATTTTAGAAAATGAATGGTCTGAAATCTGCTAAGTCAGCCTGTCTGCAGCTGATTGAAGGCATAATGGAGGCCTGTTGGTGGGTTGATGACTGACAAAGGGCTGCTGGCCATGGCCTACATTCTTGGTTTGTTAATAGGAGATAAGATCTGACCTGAATAGGCTGTGAGGACAAAAAGCCTGAACACAAAAACTTCAAGACCAAAGATTTCAGCAGACGTCCAACAGGCCAACATACTTCCACTTCCTTTGGTTAAACTCCGCAGGAATCTGGAACCTCCTTAAGAATGTAGAGAGGAAAACCTCTGGATGAGACCGGATGCGACTCAGTGGAAGACATTCCTTAAAGGTCTGAATGAAATGTGCTGAGCAACAGAACCACACTGACTTCAGCTTTACATGCTGTCACAGATCTGTCCTGATCCTGGCGATCCGGACCAGGACTTCCCCATCATGTGACTCCGCCCACCAGCGGATCCGTCCTGTGGGCTCCTCGGAGGAAACAACATGGTGGTGAACAGGGCCGCAGAGCGTCCTCCATCTTGATACCAAGCTCCAGCGCCGACGCTAGCTTGGTTCCTAGAACGGAAAGAAACAGATTTTGATCTCAACAAATCACCAGCGTTCAGAACTTGTCCTGGAACAGGAGTTCTGTCCAGGCCCCAAAGAGTCACCGGGTGAGACGTACGGCCCCAAGACCTCCAACCGGCTCCCACAGGGCCCCAGGGCTCCCACAGGGCCCCAGGGCTCCCACAGGGCCCCAGGGCTCCCACAGGGCCCCAGGGCTCCCACAGGGCCCCAGGGCTCCCACAGGGGCCCAGGGCTCCCACAGGGGCCCAGGGCTCCCACAGGGGCCCAGGGCTCCCACAGGGCCCCAGCCCACCGCCGCAGTGGAAACCAAGATGAACCAGACTGGGAGCGCAGGTTACCGTCCCACCTGGAAGCCTGGGGCCCCCAGGGGCCATACCACAACCCCAGACAAAGCCTTCACAGGGGCCGGGCCACACCGGGCCCCCCCCATCCCACCGAGTTTCTCATGACATGAAATATCACAATGAACGCAGAAAGACTACAGGAATGTTGTTACAGGTGGTAAATAAAACTTCATAGCACATTTCAAAATAAAACATAAAACCAAAATAAACACAAAATGAATTTCAGCAAAAACAGAATTAAATGCAGAAGTTTTTTCACTGACCTCTAATGGAGCTGCTGAGTCCGCTGACCACCGAGGAAAAGGTTTCACATCAGGGCCCTGATGGGGCCCAGGGGGCCCTGCAAGGAGCCCACATGGGGCCCTGATGGGCCCCGCATGGGGCCCTGATGGAGCCTGCATGGAGCCCACCTGGGGCCCTGATGGAGCCCACCTGGGGCCCTGATGGAGCCCACATGGGGCCCTGGGGGCTGAAGGGATATAAAACTGCTCAGATGTAAATTAGACAACATGTTTGGTGCACAGGAACAGGAACCAACCGGGTCACTGATCAGAACCAGCAATACTCAACAAGAAAGAGATTAAAAAATAAAAGCAGCATTTATTAAAAGCTTGTGCATTTAGTGTCCATCACTTTATCACAGATTAAAAAATGCATCTGTAGGATGTAAATTAATTTCACCATTCAATCTTATAATGGATTTTCTTGCCAGCCTCAATGAGACTTTCAGAATAAAACTCTTTCCTGTATCTGGCATTTCACCACCGACTCAAACAAATGAAGACTCGTTCAGCAGCCGCTGTCATCAGGAGGCCAGAGCCTCGTTTGGGTTTATTGCAAATATCTGCGGGTCACATTATTGTACATTACACAGCAGCAGAAGCCAAGCGGGTTTACAAACCGGGTCACGCACGGGTCAGCTGCTCCTCCGATTCGTCCTCGTTTAATTTAAACACCTGACCAGAGAAAATAATTACATCTCGACAAACCCGGGAACCAGTTTGAACTATTTTCAACCGGATCTTCAACCGGGTCTTCACTCCTCCACTGTATAACCTGACACAGTTTGGTCCATTTGACGTACAACAGAACCGAGTCAAAGTCAAACACAGTTCTGAGTCATGTCAGAATCCAGCCTTGAACCGGTTCTGGGGTTCTGGCCCGGTCCGTCTCTAAGCAGAGAGCAGCTCCAGCCCCATCATTACATCACATAAAGGATCCATTGTTGGCTGAGTGAATGAGTGACCCAGATTACAGCCATGTAAATTTGGACAGTTTCTCCACCGTTGCCTGGATACTTCAGTTTGGACCAGACAGCACCGTAGATCCAGAACCAACACTGAAACACGCGTTGAGCGGTAAAATCAGCTGAATGTTCTGGGCTGCAGGCGTGTGGAGGAGATGCTTCAGTGAGAACTGAACATGTTGAGGGAGGATCTTTTCCAGACCACAGGGAGCCGCAGAACCAGAGACCCGGATTGGAGCCGGGCCAGCGGTAGAACTAGATCCACCACTGCAGGTCACTGCAGGTCATCCTGCAGGACATCTTGCTGGACTCCAGGCTTTTAGCCACCAGTGGTTAACCAGTGACATCCAACTGCATTTAACTAACCGCTAATCATTAATCATAACTCTGTGAAATGAGTGTTTGATATTCTGATGTTTCACATTTAAACTTCAACACAGAAATGATCATAAACCTGCAGTTGCAGTTTGGGATTTTAAATCCAGTCGGTCCAGTTACTGGACTAGGAGTAAACTGGGAATCATGATCATCTCAATCAATCAGAGAATTTATTGAGTTTTATTAGAATAATTTCAGGATTACTGGTTAAAATTGGACTCTGGTGTTATTGTGACTGATTTGAAGACTGTCCAATATTTAGATCAAAGCTCAGGATTTTTTCAAGTTATGGATCCAATGATGCATTTCTTCCCGTCAGAAACCAACCTCTACATCCAACATGGCCGCTTCACAGAGATACACAGTTTGATAAACAGTTTTAACTGAATTTCTTTTTAATTCAATCTAATGAAATAATGAACACATCCCTGATTTTCCAACCTGCAACTGGAAGATGATTAATTTCTAGATCCAAGGTTTCGATCTTAAAGGTAAAGAAATGAATCAGTCGGGTAGAACTGGTCTGAGCATCAAGCAGTGATCAATAAGTGGAAGGTGTTATAAAGTGGCAAGACCGATCTGGTGCAGTTGGACCCGGACTGGACGTCCTGAAACAAGGAGTAATAATTTAAAAGCACCAAACACAAACACAGCAGCCCATCTGGAAGATGGTTCCTCTCCCAGCCGGTCTGCAGGCTCCTGAACGTCACACCGACAAAACAACGCAAAGCAACACTTCTGCTGCAGCCTCTGTTCAATCAAACAGGCCGCAATGTCAACGCAAATAAGCCACAGGCTACGTCTCGTAATATACAAAAGCATTCTCCAGAGTAAAGCGTTCAGTCGAAACAGTGTGCTGCAAACAAAGCAAATAAAAAACGCTTCTGGAAATCATAAAGTGTCAGACGCCAGGACTGCAGCCTGACAGGAAACACCGTTAAGCTAGCTTACTTACATGAGCTTTACCTTCAGTTAAACCTCAACACCTTCATTCTCCTGATTAATCCGTTGTAACCAACGGTGTGCGAATAAACAGGACCAGAAAAAATATTCTTGATTCAAATCAATACCTGAGAAACAATAAAACGGAGCCTCTGATGTTAATGAAATGGGAGCATTTTGCAAAAAGCAAAACATGTTGCATGATAAGACCAACTGGAAAACATGGCGACTCTAACATGAATAATAACTCCTGGATGGCGGCCATATTTAAATATATGGGATCAGGTGTGCAGACCATAACATGAAAGTTTAGGATTTTTCAACTGTTTTGTTCAGTTTGTTTGTAAATCGATAGATTTAGAATCAATACAGTTGGACGCCATGTTTGAATCCAGACCGGCAGCCATTACAGGAGGATGTTGTTCAGTTGAGTCTTCAGCCATTTGTTTGCTTTCTGCAGATCCATCCTGCCTGACGTTGGAGGCTCCACTGATGACTGGACCTTTCTGACTTCAACAAGAACTCAGTGTTACAACATTAACATGGGAACTTTTAAAGTTATTTTCACTGATCAGAGACGAGTCAGAGTTATATCCCAGATAACATCAACAATACTGTGCAAAAAGTTCATCAATAAAACAGAAGGTCTGAAACAGGAACGGATAGTCAATGGCATCAGGTTTGTTCTTTCAGGCACTTGGCAGCAGAGAGTCTGCTTCAGCTCTGCAACAAGGAAATAAACAGAAACTGTGTAAAGCTTTAGCACAGTGTTACAGATCAATCTGGTTTGTGTTTATCAGGTTGTTAAAGCAGAACCAACAGAGTCGATGTGGAAATGAAGCCATTTGATGAGCCGTTGTTCTGCTGGTGGGTTAAAGCTCCGGTCTGATCTGCCTATCAGGAGACAATGGGACCTGCTCAGTTCCTGATCCACAGAGATCCACAGAGATCCACAGAGATCCACGGCAGTGTGACAGTCTCTGCTGGTGTGCTGTTGGCCTTCACTCCAGGCCGAAGCCTTCGGCGTTGGAGATGGTGATGGTGAGTTTGTTTTGAGCTCCTTCCGCGTTCGATACGGAGGCAAACAGATCTGGTTGAAGCAGGTGTGAGAGATGGGCAGCCTGAGGAGACGGAGAGGAAGTTCAACGTTAGCAAACAGCCCGACATCAACGGCTCAGAGAGCTGCGCCTCTTCAGCAGAGCAACTGACTGATGCCTTCAGGACCAACATTCATCCAGGAACTTTTGCTTTTTTTACACAGTCGACAGAAACCAGATTCCAAATTCAGATTAAACCATATCTGAGGAAGAGGAGGGTACGGCTCTAAGCTTTAGCTCTGCTAACGCTAACACACCATATCAACATGGTATATACTGGGAGCTAATGCTAAAACGCTAAATCCAACCTTTTATCTTAGCAACATGATACATAAGATCCACAGGATCCAGAGGAACCTGGAGGTGCAGATTAGCAGCTTAAGAGGAAAAACAAGAAAATCCAGCAAGACATGAAGGAACATTTTAATGAAGCTCAGCAGATTCATGGCAGCATATTCTGGCTACTGGGCTCACTCTGATTTTCTATAGTTCTGACACAAAGACCCACAGTGTGTAAACACGACACCACACACACACACACACACACACACACACACACCACACACACACACACACACACACACACACACCCACACACACCCACACACACACACACACACACACACCCACACACACACACACCACACACACACACACACATACACACACACACACACTGGTTTAAGTGCTGTGGGAGCCGGTGAGAGCTAAGCTGTGTTGGGTTCATGAGTACATGGATGGTTTTTTTCAGATTTACCGGAGAAACGAAGCGCTCAAGTGGAAGGACCTGGGGAGGGTCAGGACCAGGACCGGGACTTTAACGCTTTCATTTCCATTAATTATCCACATAAATTTTATCACACTGAAATTTTTAATTGTATTTTTTTAATTCCTTATTATTCACACATTCCTGTTCTGCCTGTAAATCTGACAGAATCAGCATCACAAACCAAACAGACATTTTCATGACCAGTAAATTAAATGTACTGATGAAAAGCAGGATGAAGAATTTCTGCTTCAGAAACTTTGATGGTTGAAAAACATGAAGAACAAAAAGGATTAAAAATAATAAAAATGTTTGTTGTTGAGCTCAGATGTCTGTATATTCAGTAATTTAGCAGCAAAAATGTTTTTGCATTGAAAATGTTTATTTTATTGATAGTTTCATATTAAAGCCTAATTAATTCATTACAGATATTGCAGTCAACTTGACTAGACATTTTAATGTTTGACTATATTAAACCAGGTTAGGAGAAATGCCTTATGCCTGTTCAGCATGGTGGTGGAGGGATGGTGATGTGGGCTCAGGTTGGGGCTACAGGACCTGAAAATGATCCACCTGAACGGCATCGTACGAGGCGGGACTGCAGCATCGTACGAGGCGGGACTGCAGCAACGTAACAGGCGGGGCTGCAGCATCGTAACAGGCGGGACTGCAGCATCGTACGAGGCGGGGCGGCAGCATCGTAACAGGCGGGGCTGCAGCATCGTAACAGGCGGGGCGGCAGCATCTTACGAGGCGGGGGTGTGCATCGTACGAGGCGGGGCTGCAGCATCGTAACAGGCGGGACTGCAGCATCGTACGAGGGGGGCTGCAGCATCGTACGAGGCGGGGCTGCAGCATCGTAACAGGCGGGGCTGCAGCATCGTAACAGGCGGGGCTGCAGCATCGTACGAGGCGGGGCGGCAGCATCGCAACAGGCGGGGCTGCAGCATCGAGCGAGGCGGGGCGGCAGCATCGTACGAGGCGGGGCGGCAGCATCGTACGAGGCGGGCTGCAGCATCGTAACAGGCGGGGCGGCAGCATCGTACGAGGCGGGGCAGCAGCATCGTAACAGGCGGGGCGGCAGCATCGTAACAGGCGGGGCTGCAGCATCGTCATAGGACAGCAGGAAGGTGAGCGAGTTCACGGCCGCCCAGTCTGGACTTGAACTCAGTCAACCTGGTTTTCTTTGGATCTGACTCCTTCTGGGGTCACGACCCATACGGTGTGTATGTGTGAGAGAGAGGGATTCCTCCAGCAGCTATCTGTATATGTGCAGCTATAGGAACATAATCTGGCCCATATGGAGGCCCAGCTGCTCAAGTGTGTGTGAAAGGAGAGCTGTTTGTCAGAGCAGCATGGTTTCTCTCTCTCTCTCTCTCACACACACACACACACACACACACACACACACACACACACACACACACACACACACACACACACACACACACACACACACACACACTCAGTGTGTTTCAGAGTTTTTCAGCTGCTGGGCCCCCGACCATTCACTGAGCTTCAATGCTATGGAAAGTTTGTCCATGGGAAAACGTCCAGCTGCCACAGGACACCTCATAGTAAACGGCCAGCTAAGCTACAAAGCTAAAAGCTACGAAGCTAAGACATGAAAAGAAGCTAATAGGTCACTATTTTAATCAATTAAAAGATGAGTTGAAGACTTTTGAGTTTCTTTTGTGTCTGAAGGGTTTAGTTTTTATTTTGTCGTGTCAAAAGGTGGAAGAGCATGAAAGCTTCTCTGGTTTTAGGTTTTATTCCAGAGATTCATGAAGGGACATATTGATGGACATATTGATGGACATATTGATGGACACATTGATGGACACATTGATGGACACATTGATGGACACATTGATGGACGGTCAGACGTCCCATGAACCCACCAGTCTGCCGGAACGTCGATCTTGCAGATCTTGAAGTTGAGGTCGGCCATTCCCCCGATGGGAACGCGGTCGCTGCCGGTGGCGAAGTGCAGCAGTTTCTTCTGCAGCTCCAGAGGGAACGCCAGAACCACGTCCCAGAAGAACCTGGAGGAGAACCAGCACACCCTGCTTACTGGGAGCACTGGGAACCAGGTTCTGGTCCGGTCCAGGTTCTGCAGGAGACGTTTACCTCACAGTGGCGTCCATCTTGCTGTAGCCTTCGTACTGAGCAGCTTTCTGCAGGGCGCTCATGTCCAGCTCCGGACTGCCGCACACCAGCATCTCCACCTCCTCCGGCCGCAGCAGCTGCAGCAACAAACACATGAAAACATGACAACATGAAAATGAGAGTTCCTCCACTGGAGGCAAAAATATCGACGATGTTCAGACATTTAATCTCTTCCTGCAGGTTTCAGGACTGAAACCAAAAATACTTTATTATTCTGACAACTAAATGATCGAATCTGATTTCAAATATTTCATATTTTAACCTTTTTATTCAATATTATAAATAAACTAAAAGATACAAATAAACAACTTAATTCCTTTTTAAATTATGAAATAATATTTACTGCCTAAAAGTCAACAGCATTCCTTTAGCGAACGTTTGAAGGATTCATGTGCAGCTATAATATTTCTGCTGATTATTGTTGGATTAACTGGCTGATAACTGGATGGAAAAGATGCAAAAGTTTTACAGAATCTGAACCAGGTGAAGATAAATCAGACGAATTCAGGATAAAACAGATTTTATATCTTAAATATGACCTTAAATGCAAATACTTTCACATATTGTTTACAGCTTTAGTTTAATTACTGCTCTGGGAATGTTCAACAACTGGCCTTCTTTGATTGATTGACCAGAAGAATCGCTTCATCAACAGGATTTAAACTTGCAACATTCGCCGCTGCGCTAAAATTCCCAGGAAGACCAAATTCAGTTCAGGTGTAGCAACCGCTTAAAAACCGCTTGGCAACGGGGAACAGGAAGTACGGCATCATCACAGAGTCACTCAACAGGAAGGGAGTGAAAACAATCGAGTCGTCAAACTGAAACTTCCTGTCATAAAGGCAGAACGGTGAGAGAAAATGGGTCAGAACCACCAGATTACAGGGAATCAAGAAGAGGAAGATGCTGATGATGATGAGTTAATGAGAAAACTCCGACACGACCTCCGACCTGCCTCATCACGTCCTGGAGCTGCAGGACGTGACCCACAGCACAGAGGAGAAAAACTGAGCCGAAACCTGCAGAATCTGGGTCAGAACTTGACCCAGATTCTGACCCAGAACGGCAGAACTTTGGATAAAACTCATTTTTATTATTTTACATCAGATATGAGATTTTATGGTTCTTTAGTTTCAGTGTCTCTTCTGAACATTTGATCTTAGCGTGGAAGAAGTTTGTCCTTGTCCGCTGCAGCCAAGGTCATGGGAAGTAGGCCTGGTTCCTCAGCGCCCCCCGATGGCCGCCAGAGGAAGTGCACATGATGTAACTGCTGCTCCTGGATTCAGTTTTCATTTGGAAAACTAGAGTCAGATCCTGGTTTTCGGTTGGCTGATACCTGAGAGCTTTACGTTAGAATAATTCCTACATAAAACTGAATAAAGATAATAAATATTACAGCCAAACATCACTAACTCCATCCAGCTTCGGTAACGGCGCTAAACTATTTCCATGGCCCTAAAACAATCGGTATTTTATCCTAATTAGTCAGAATAAATGTCTGCCTCTTGATGTGTCCACTATAGAGACGGCAAAATATGGTGATGCTGGTAATAAACCGAAACCTTTCTCCTTTTCACTTAGAATCACCAACATTAATCCTATTTGCTAAATGCCAGAAAACTTGGTGAGAAAATTTTTAGAACATTTTGTGTTATGATAATTCAGCAAATTAGTTCCAAAAAAAGGATATTCAGGCTTCAATTAGCATATAAAGACTAATTGAAAATGAATAAATTAAGTTTTATTATTATTTAATTGTCTTGATGTGATCTGAACAGCCTGAATAAGAATTAGAAAAGATTTGTGCAGCCAGCTGTTTCACTGGCCTTCACTGTATGTGTTCACACACACACACACACACACACACACA